TAGCGTCGTCAGTGTGTGCCGGTGTGTGGTGGTGTTCGGACGTCTCATGGCTGGCCCAACTCTGCCTGCCTGACTCCACACACACACACAGCCGTCCGTTGTCTCTCCCCATTCCTTCCTTACCTCAACTCTCTCCTGTTTTTTTTTACCTCGTTTTATTACCTCAGGAGCCCGCTGGGTATGGCTCCCTGGTGTGTAGAGAAGACAGGAATCAAAGCAAACGCGACAGTAAACGGTGATATGGTTTAAAGTGAATTATATTGTTGATCGTGTTAAAAAAAATGCAAGTGAACGCTCAAGACATCTTTCCCTGATCTGCCTCTTGACAATCTGGAACAGTGAGGGTCAACACACGCACAGCAACTGAACGCCATAACAGTGATAGTGAGTTTAATCATATACAGTGAGTGAAACAATTCCTCGAGAGAGAAGAAGAAGAAGAATGAGTTACCACGGGAAGGTCGAATACGTCGTGAGGTGTTTACCCTGACGCACCAAACTAGACCAACACAGCTACAGAAGGCAATTACCTTCCTCTCGCTCACCTATAAAACAACAACAATGTATCCATTCCATTTCTCTAGTTAATATCATATACAAACATTAACCCCCCCCAAAAAAAAAACATTATAATCTGATCATAATACGTGACAAGCGGATTATATGACATTCCATTCTGTTTAATAATTCACAGACGGACAGCCATAAGTAATCAGTGAATCGGTTTCTCTACTGATACGCGCGTCGAAGAATCAGTTCACTGTAATTTGTTCCCAAGAGCCTCAGAGATTCACCAAAGTACAAGGTTACAAAACATTACAGTTGAAAATTACTCTCCCCCCAAAATAAAGAGTTTATATACTGTATCTTGACAAATACAGAAGGTTAACTCTTTCTCCTACTCTCTACCGCTCTCTCTCACTCCTCTCACTCTCTCTCTCTCTTTCTCTCTCTCAGCTGAGGATTTCGTTGATACGGTCTGAATACTTGAGTGAGAGTGAAGCAGTGAGAGAGCCACAGCAAGTGAGAGGGATTGAGAGGGAGTGAGAGGACCCAACACTCATCATGGCTCTCACTACCACTCAGTTCCTACCGGCCAGATGACTCCACCTTCTCCCAGGTAAGTTTAGTCTCATTACCTGTCCTTACTTCACTACCTGTCCTCATCACCCGTTCCTACCTGTCCTCATTACCTGTCCTCACCTCACCTATTCTTACCTGTCCTGATCACCTCTCCTCACCTCATTACCTGTCCTCTTCACCTGTTCCTACCTGTCCTCATCACCTGTCCTCACTACTCTCCTCAGTTCCTGTTCTCACTTCACTACTGTTCTCCTCAACTGTTTTCATTCACTCTCCACCTCCCCATTTACATCATCCTATTTGCATCACCCATATTACATTACCTTATTTGCTTTACCCCATTTGCATCACCCAATTTGCATCACTCCATCGCATTAACACAATTCAACCTATATTTATTTTATTCAGTCTCTATGTTTTTCATCCAAGATTTACTCACTTGTACAATTTTTTTACACCCTTTAAAAATTTACACGCTTTCGAAATTTACAAAAACTCATGATTTACATGTATATGAAATTTACACATAATCGAGATTTACACATTATCGAAATTTACATATATTCAGAATTTTTTCCTGCATTTGCAATTTTACACAGACACACACACACACACACACACACACACACACACACACACACACACACACACACACACACACACACACACACACACATAATCGAAATATTCACGCATCAAAAATTCACAAATACATCTAAAAAATTAAAAACAAAATTGTAAAAATCTCACGTAGATTAAAAATTCATCCGCCATCAAATACTTCTTTCCAGGCAACATGGTGATAAGCGCACCAAAATATCGATCACTTATGCCACAAAAGACGACAAGAAATAGACTAGCTAAATATAATTCAAAACATAAACGTAATTATGAACTTTAAAATAAAATAATCCCCGTCGTCTTTCCTCCCTCCTCTTCCCACGTAAACCGCATCTGATATTGCAAGATTAACTAATATTTTTTTTAGGCTCGTTTACCGATTTGCGATCTCTGTGGACTCTTGTTTACATTTCCCCCGAGCCGTGGTGGTGGTGCGTTCAACTCCCAAACAAAAATATTCAATACATTTTGTTTACGTCAATTCGGTGCGATGGGATGAGAGGTGCGTTCAACTCTCAAACAAAAATAGTAAATACATTTCATTTCTCGTCAATTCTAAAACCATGGAACAGGAAGTACGTTCAATTCTTCAAATCCGCCCCCCCCAAAAAATAATGATAATTTTATTTGGGTAATTCGGAAGCCATGGGATTGGTAATGCGTTCGACTCTCCAAAAAAAAAATCGTTTCATTTCGCCAATTTAGGAACTGACGAGACGGGTAATGCGATTGAATGAAAAAATATATGTATTCAAAATGTATTCAGCGTTTTATTTTCTTCACTATATAGGAACCTACAGAAACTATCACTCACCATCACCATACATCATCATCATCATCATCATCATCATTATCATCCACCATCCCGTATACTCATGGTCAGTCAGTGGCTTAAGTCCCTGTCAGCTCCCGCGTTCGAATCCCGCAGGAGGAAGCACAAGCGAGTGGTAATTTCAATCACTTAGCGGAAGGGAATTCGTGTCTTGGTAACACTGTGATATTTTTTTTTAATTTTGTATTCTTGTATATTACTGTATCCGTACCTGTAACTGTATGCAGGCCTCTGTATCTTTCTTAATATTTATTCCTGTATCTCTATCTTTACTTTTGACTGTAACGGTACACATATTTGTAACTGTACCTGTATTCGTGTCGTTACTTATTACTGTACCTTTTATAGTCATGTACCTGTACCGAAAACTGTATCTAAATCCCTAGCACATCACCATGGCTGTAACCTGTACTACACAATCCCTGTAACCTGTACCAAACCACCTAACCTACCTCCCCTCCCCCCTAAACCTGTAACCTGTACTACGCTATGCCTATAACCTGTACCAAACCACCCAACCCACCTCCTCTCTCAAAACCAAATCAGCCTGGTTATGGGTTCCTAACCTGTACCAAACCACCTAACCTACCTCCCTTCCTTCCAAACCTGTAACCTGTACTACACAATCCCTGTAACCTGTACCAAACCACCTAACCTACCCCCCTCCCCCCAAACCTATAACCTGTACTACACAATCCCTGTAACCTGTACCAAACCCCCAAACCTGTAACCTGTACTTGTTACTGTCGCGTTGTAACCGAGTAAATGAATTCAATTTCGCTTTCCATTCCATGTCCAAAATCGAATGCACACAAACATGTCACCGGGAAACTGTCTGTCGATTTAACACTGCCGGAGAGTGTGGGGGAGGGGAGGGGAGAACTGTAAAATTTGGATGGCTATGTCCCTGTGAGGAGAGGAGGGGGGGGGGCGGAAGGAGGGGAGGGAAGGAGAGAGAGTGAAAGGTTGACTGATAGACAGCAAGAGATGGAAAAACAGAGACAGACAACACTGAAAGACAGACAGGCAGAGAAAAAAAGAGATATAGAAGGAAAAAGAGAAGCTGAGTGACAGAGAAACAGACGGACATACATACAGACAGACACAGACAGACACTGACAGACAGACAGAATAACTCACACTCAATAAATATATAATGAATTACAGTGAAGAATATAATGAAAAAGTCCCTTGATGACCTTAGCATGTTCAGATCTTGACCTTCACAGAAAATATATAACAACATTTAAAGTTTATATTGTGTATGTGTGTGTGTATATGTTATGTGTATGTATATATTAAGTATGGCAAGTATGTCTATTTTTTTACTCTTTCCTTGTGAGAATTATGCTGTTTTTATTGTTTTTGTTTTTGTTATTTAATTTGTGTTTAGTTTTAGTTAGTTAATGAGTTAATGAGTCCCTTGATGTTGATGTTTATAAAGTCCCTTGATGCTTATATTTACAAACATCAAGGGACTTTATGAACATCAACATCAAGGGACTTTATAAACACCAACATCAAGGGACTTTATAAACATCAACATCAAGGGACTTTATAAACATCAACATCAAGGGACTTTATAAACATCAACATCAAGGGACTTTATAAACATCAACATCAAGGGACTTTATAAACACCTCACCATCACACGAGGAGTCCAGCTGTTACACTATGGTCACCTCACCTAACACAGTACATTAAACATGAATACTAATAATTAAAGCTTTTAAAAAACATTAATAAGCTTCCATTACCAACAGGGACTAGTTTACCATAAGATTAAATTACCTTTAATAAAACCCTAGATTAAGAAAAAAACTCGGAAGATTATTTTATTCCTCGTAAGTTATTTTTTTTATCCATATACACAGATATTTTCTTCATTCATTCATATATAATACACACACATACTTACATACGCACACACACACACACACACACACACACACAAAACATATATACTTACATATGCACACACACACACACACACAGACACACACACACACACATATGGCTGTAATCGGTCATTTACTGTGGATTCGAAACCTTATTGGTGATGAGTTTCGAATCCAGGGTTTATGAATCACCGAACCCGATAGATCGAGTCACTGAACCACATTGATTGAACCATTACAGAATATTGAGTTTCCATAACCTTATTTTTTCGTGTTATCAGATTACCTGAAGTTTAGACCCCCAAGTTTGTTTCATCTGATATAATTAACCTCTCTAACGTTACCTGGGGAGGTTAGGTTAGGTTAGTTTAGCGATTTTTTTCAATTTAGGTTAGGTTAAGTTGGGTTAGAATAGGATAATATTGGGGTGGTTAATCTTCAGGTGAAATAAGACAGGGTGACGGGGTGTCTAATCTTCAGGTGATCCTCAATATCTAGTCATTGTCATCGTTATTCTAGCAACTTCAAGAAATTCAACGACAGATTAATTTCCTGTATCCCGTGAACGAAAAGAAAAGGAGATGTTACATTATCGTTCACAACTCCTCCTGATGTGTTATTATTTTACCATAAACAACGAAACTTAATGACAAATGTGATTAGAAATGAATTGTTTTTTGTCAGTCAAGTGAATCTGGGGAGTTTTCAGATCACGAGTCGTTCTATCTATCTTTATCTATCTATCTGTCTATCTATCTATCTATCTATGAGCTAAACGTGCCAAGGTATAACTGTAATCTCTCTCTCTCTCTCTCTCTCTCTCTCTCTCTCTCTCTCTCTCTCTCTCTCATTTCCGAATTCTGAGAGCAACGGGAGAGGGAAGGAGAAGGTTATTGAGAAACGTTAAAGGAAAAAGAACAGAAGAAGAGAAGGGGAAGAGGAAGAAGGAAGAAGGGGGAAGAGGAAGGTGAAGGGGAGGGAGGAAAGAGATAATGAGAAATAGGAAGAAGGGGAATAGGCAGGAAGAGAGATGAATATAGGAGGAAGGAAGGGAGGGAGGGAGGAATGGGAAGAAGGAAAGGGAGGAGGGAGAGAAAGGAATGGCGAAGGACAGGAATGAATAAAGGGAGAGAGGAGATATTGTTCAATGGAAAGGCAGGAGGAATAAGAATGGGAAAGGAGAAGGAAGAGGGAATAAAGAGGGAAGGAGAGGCTATCGGAAGAAGACAATAAGAGTAGAATAAGGAAGAGGAGGAAGGATAGAAGGAGAGAAAGGTAAAGGGAAGAGAAGAAGAATGGAAGTAGGAAATGAAGAAGGAGGAGGAAGAAGATCAGAGAAGTAGGTCAACCACATGCTCCTCCTCTGCCTCTTCCTCCTCCTCTTCCTCCTCCTCCTCTTCCTCCTCCTCCTCTTCCTCCTCCTCCTCTCCTTCTTCTTCACCATCATCAATTATAACTCACAACTTCTGTTCATTAATCCTCAATCTAATAACTTGTACAATAAGATAAAGTTATGGGAAAGACACTCGTATTTAGCTAAGATTGTCTAAGGCTCTTACGTCAATTTTACAGTTTCACTTCAGTTACGACATAAAAATGGATTTTCAAAGGTTCTTTTGTCAGTCTGTTATTGTTTATTTTGTTTTCTTCTATTCTTTATGTGAGCTTTCCCTTTTGTTTATATAT